CCTCTGCCTCCCCCACCCGCAGGTTGAGCAGCCGCACGAAGAAGTGCTCGTCCTCCTCAAAGATGTCGTCGTCGATGATGCCGATCTTGAGCTCCTTCTGCGTCTCGCCCGGCTTGAAGATCAGCGTCCCCTCGCTGTACTCGTAGTCGGAGCCCGCCTTGGCCGAGCCGTCCTCCGTCTTGTAGTCCACGTAGAAGGTATGGTAGTCCTCCCCGCCCTGCTGGCAGGCCACAGTCAGCGTGACCGAGCCGCAGTTCTCCAGGCAGTGGTACAGGCAGGGTTCGAAGAAGATCTTGCTGTAGTTCTCCTCCTCCGCCTCCGACGGCACCTCCAGGAGGTTGGACGACTTCTTGGCGAACTCCGAGACGTGCTTCTTGAGGATGTTCCCGGCCCCGGTCATCATGCGGGTGGCCTGGATGCGGTAGAACGCGCGGCTCTTCTGCTGGTGCAGCAGGGCGTAGTAGTTGGCCATCTCCACCAGCTGTTCCAGCTCCTTGTCCGGGTGCTTCTGCTTGAGGTCCTTGAGGATCTGGATCACCTCCTTGCGGCTCTCGTCCAGCTCCTTCTCCTCCTGGGCGGTGGAGGCCAGGGCCGGGGAGGCGGAGGGCGCCCCGTCCATGAAGGCGCTCTCCCGGTGGTCGTTGGCCAGGAAGCTGCCGTCCATCTCGATGTCCTTGGGGAACTCCCCCTCGGTGCCGATGATGATGCCGCTGCGCGGGTCGGCCCGGTAGCGCTTGTAGACGTACTTGTAGAAGAACAGGCGCTTGTCGGCGATCCAGGCGAAGACCACGCAGACCGGGAAGAAGACCAGCGTCAGCAGGGCCTCCCAGACCTGCACCACGCCCGGGGAGATGACGGCCAGGATGAGGTAGAGCCAGATGTAGGCGAAGATGCTCCAGGAGGCCGTGACGAAGAAGACGCGGAGGTGCCGGATCCGGCGGATCTCTCCGGCAGGGATGACGTAGACGCAGATGGCGATCACCACGAACATGTTGAAGGCGGCGCTGCCCACGATGGTGCCGGGGCCCAGCTCCCCGGCCTGGAAGTTGTGCCCGCACACCTCGATGACGGAGAGCAGGATCTCGGGCGCCGAGGAGCCCAGCGCCATCAGGGTCAGGTTGGAGACTGTCTCGTTCCAGATGCGCACGGTGCCGATGCTGGTCTCCCCGTTGGCCTTGGTGATGGTGATCTCCTTCTCCTTGGAGGTGATGACCTCGATGGAGGCCATGAAGCGGTCAGCGATGATGGAGACGCCCAGGAACATATACATCATGGCCACGAAGTAGACGATGGCTCGGGCGGCCTTGTCGCCGAAGGAGGGGTTGTCCGGCTGCCAGACGGGCAGCAGCACCCCAGGATGGCACTGGTTGGACCCGCGGCAAGTCAGGTTGCTCTCCGGCACTGTCTCCAAGGCGCCCACGTGGGAGACGTTCTCAGCCAGGAGGGCAGACGCCAGCAGCGCCTTGGCGAGGAAGGGGGGCAGGGGGTGCCGTGCCAGCGCCATGGTCTCGGGCGCGTTGGTCCGGCTGCCAGGCCCGGCCGGATCTAGAGAAGAGAAAGACAGAGCGTTGCAATAGCATGGCAGGCGTCCCAACGCACTGGGCCCTCCCAGGGCCAGGAGAGAGCCCAGGAGTCCTGGTGCCCAGCCACGCCCATAACCACTAGACACCCAAAGAGAAACAGTCCCTGTGACTGTCCCCACCGTGTACAGGCCTTCCGCCCCCAGGCAGCTTAACGTGTGACTAAAGGAGAACCCGCTTAGCCAGCAGCAGCAGTAGGCTGTTATCCTCTCTGGGGCCCGGCCACTAGGGAGGCGAAGACTCAAGCCCACACAGCATGCACGTACACCGGACATGGAGGTGCACAGGCACAGAAAGAAACAGTCCCTGTGACTGTCCCCACCGTGTACAGGCCTTCCGCCCCCAGGCAGCTTAACGTGTGACTAAAGGAGAACCCGCTTAGCCAGCAGCAGCAGTAGGCTGTTATCCTCTCTGGGGCCCGGCCACTAGGGAGGCGAAGACTCAAGCCCACACAGCATGCACGTACACCGGACATGGAGGTGCACAGGCACAGAAGGGGCACATACACACGCGTGCAGTGCAGACACCCGCGCACCTGGGTTTGTATGTACACCCACTATGCGCAAACACATATGCAGTTCATATGCACATGGATCATACACACGTGCACATAGAGTGTACACATTCACACCCGGGTTTGTACACACCTCCCCTCTGTGCACCCGGAGCTTTGTGTGTATAAACAAAGAGCATGCACACGCCCAGTTTTGTGCACACCAGTCCCATACACTGGCACACACAGGCAGCGTGTGCACATCCCCACGCACACATGTGCCTTTGGCTGCCTGCTTAGGAACAATGGGATTAGGCAGGCGAGTGGCACATTCGGACAGGAGCCGGGCCAGCCTCCCGAGCCGCATCTGCCGGGGCGCACCCCTAAGGGGGTTTAGCAAAACGATGTCAAGTCATGTCGGGGAGTGTGACGCAGTGGGGGGTGCTGTAGGGTGTGTGTGTGGGGGGGGTGTACCTCAGTCCCCCCCGACCCTCCCCCATTTTGCAGCTCTCTGCATGAGTGGGGAGGCCAGGCACGACTCACTGGGGAATAGTGATAGAAATGTAGCCGTGTGAGTCTGGTCCAGCTGAAACAAAAGCCAGGACCAGGCAGCACTTTACAGACTAACAAGATGGTTTATTAGGTGAGGAGCTTTCGTGGGCCAGACCCACTTCCTCAGATCAAATAGTGGAAGAAAATTGGCCCGACCATCTATACCAACGGGTGTAGTGAGCACACATGAAAAGTGAACACACATGAAATCGACAAATCAGACTTTAGAACAGAGGGGGAAGGTTAGTGTCTGTGAGGTAGCGACATTAGGGGCGATAATTGGGGAAGCTGGCTTTGTAATGGGTGAGATAATTAGCATCTTTGTTAAGGCCCATATGTAAAGTGTCAAATTTAAGCCTGAATGACAGTTCTGAGGCTTCTCGTTGAGTCTGAAGTTACAATCTCTTTGAAGCAATAGGCATGTTTTACGGTCACTGAGAGACTGGCCAGTCGGTTCAAATGGCAGGCAACAGTTTTCTCTGTGGGAAAAAGCCTGATGTCTGTTTTCTGTGCATTGATTCTTTGGCGTCTGTCCAATGGACATAGCAGACGGACACTTTCGGCACAAGTTATATTTCTGGATGAACAGGACGCACTGGGACGTGCGTCAGAGTCTTACCTCCTGGGGTCCAGGGGACAAAAGACTCCTTGGGCTAACATGAAGAGAACAGACTAAGCCGAGTGCGGGGGATTCGGGGGCTTGGGTACCGCTGCTCCAAGGGGTCTGAGGCTGCCTGCCCCTTACTCCGCTGTCCACCTCGAACCCGGGCCGGGCCGTATCTCTGAGAAGCAACGAACCTCCCTGTTCGACTGGCTGGCGGAGTCACATCTGGCTGCTACGGGGGTGCAGGGTCAGGGGTCCCCGAAACACCGTCAGAGGGAGACACTGGGATTTTAATGCCATTTTCTGTGTGTCCAGCTGCGGCCGGCGAAGAGCCCACATCCAGGTGGGGGGCAGGAAGGCAGAAGACCTCAGATGGCAGCAGGCCGGGGGGGCCTGTCCTTGGGTGAGACGCAAGAGAGCCCGGGATCCCAGGGCTGGCAGGTAGCGGGGGACGCTGGCAGGAGAGCGCACGAGTTTTCAAGCTGCCAAGGGCAGGAGAACGGGGCCCCTGAGAGTCCCAAATCTGAGCAGTGGGGCTCCATCGACAGAGTGCGCCGTGGGGGGGGCTGTCTGCTCTGTGACCCGGGGCCCCCTGCGCTGGGATGGGAGATTCTCACGGACACTCCCGAATGTGGATTAACCCAGACAGCCCGGCTCAGCCTCCCAGGGAGAGACAAAGGGGGGAGGGCGGAGACCAGCACCTGGCTGGGGGGCAGGGCCTGGGGGGGAGGCAGCGGCTGTCTGGGAAGCATGGAGAGAAGACGCTAAGCGGGGGCCTAGGGGCGATGAGTCTGAGGCATCCTGGCCCTGGCCCCTGTAGCCACAACCCGCCTGTGCTGGGCCGGACTCT